CGATCACATAAAGCGTACGAATCGTCGCAGGGCGCCTCCGATTCAGTCGGAGGGTGCCGGAGACTACTCGCAGACATTGAATCTCAACCTGATTTTCCAATCCCACACAGAATCTTGCGACTAGTCTCAGATTATTCGGAGGACGCCTCCGATTAATCGGAGGGCATCGTAGGTCATCGGAGATTGTGTCTGGGATGCCCAAAATGGGTGAAAAATCTTGCGAGCAATCTTAAAATTTTAAGTTTAAAGTTGGGGACCGCGACGGGTGTGGCGATGTCTAAAAAATCTGCGACAACCCGCAGGCGTCCGGAGAGCGCCTCCGACGGTTGCAAAATCGTCAGATCTGTCTCAAGATTTTGTTCAAATTTCCCGGGTTTTACCCATCCCCGACGCATCGCAACTGATTTGTGACTGGCCACTAAAGCACTGTATCATCCAATATTTCCTCATTTTTTAAACATTATACGTAATTATGTGCTTTATATGTACATGTAATTTGATAAGGTAAGTTAAGTAAAAAGAAATCACATCAGCGTGTTGTTACATCTATGTATTGTTTATCTTGTGATCAATTCCTCCATACCTCCAATTCCTCTCAATATAGCCATTGATCTGTGTTGGCGGGTCAGCTATGAAAATATTGGAGGTAATATTACTTGTCAATATTGGCTGTTAAGTGAAGAATTTTTTTTACTTAACTCTCACCATATAACACAACTAAAATTCTTCTCTGACAAAGAACAATATATTGACACGATCGATATGCATTCAGTTGCGTTTTCCTGCTAACAAATGCCATTTTTACAATAATTAGACCCGTACTTTAGACTTGATTCTTTGATCTGTTAAGCCAGATACAACTGCCGGTTAAAAATATTACCACTTTTTTGTGGTTTGGAACTTTTCTGATTATTCTATTCTTGCTCTATTTTATTAAAAAAATGAAATAATTTCATCCAATTTGTAGGAACTCGTTCAGATGGGGATCTTTGTTATCAGCCGTTTTATGAGCCTTAAATTTACACCTAAAACGCAATCTTGAATTTGATGAAAACATCACAAATCACTATACCCGAATTTATCGAATTTTCTCGAACTGTTGGGCACTATGTCCTTACTATTAAGCCATAATTCCAAGTACGTGTTAGATTGGTACCTGATATAATCAGAAATAACGCTTGATTAGGTGCAAAAAAGGGGAACTCAGACGCCATTTCGCACTTAAACGCAGGATGGGGATCAACATCGACCATTGTAAGCTCCCATGCATTTTGCTTTCTCACTTGAATCACCTGCACAAAATATTAGCCTGTGTTGAGGACATTAGCAACGGCACAAAAGTTCTTTCAAAGCGCATAATTTCAATACCGTTGTATGCCTTTCAATCAGTTTGGTCAAAAGAGCAATTCGGCATTGGGTCACCTAACAATACAATGCCATTGTTCTGTGAATATCGCTTAAATTATAAAACTTGGATGATTAAATGATAGCAATGGTCCGGAAAATATGAACGGTATTAAAACTTGATAGCAAGACCCTGGTGCCTCATATGTATGTATCAACCACAGGGAACAAATGTGAGAATATCAGATGACAATTTAGCACTGAAAATATTTTATGTCGCAATATCAACAACATCACCTGACAGCCTTTGACAGAAAAGTGCCTTGGCATGAATAATCGAAACATTAAAGGACCCCAGAACAAAAAGGATTTTTCCACAGATCTGGACCTCCCACTGATGTTAGAGCATTAAGGTTCAATAGCACATAAAATGGAAGATCCTTTTGGGGTAATCTTTTTCCATCTTCTATACCCTTTTTGTACCATTATTTTATATCCATTCAAAATAACGATGTTTCCTTACTTTTTTGGTCAAGCGTATACTAAGTGTACAAATACACATACTAATAAAAACTACATCGCTCTTCATCATCATCATAATACGCCCTTCCCCCAAACGTTTACAGCCAGCGTCTATTCTCCTCCAGCATTCAGCAAGCCTGTGACTTTACGCCCCATTTATTTAGGACACGCATCTGTGTTTCTCCTTGCCATTTCCATTTGCTGTATTCCATCTCTTCACATTAAAATATTTCAAGTTAATTTGTTAAAAAATGATGCATTAGATACTGACAATTTGATATAATTGGACCCACGCTGACTGTTAAATTTTCCATTTTCTATCCAATTTCAGAGGAGCCAGGTAAAGACATAGAAGTGACAGATACCAGAACCATGGCAACAGCAATAGAGTCATACACCGGCTCCGATCAGGAGAATTTTTTCCGTTTGTGCATTTTAATCGTTGACTATGCCCTGACGGTCTTGCAAGATGTTCTTCAGGAAGAACTGAAAAAAAAGTACCCCAATTTATTTGACCCCAACACAGGGTTGTTATTTAGGGTGCTTGGTGATGGAACTATCAGGAAAAAACTGTTTAGATTACCAGTATTTAATAAGCAGCAAAAAGACCAACTGTATCCTTCTGGAAATCCCTCCACATCTGTAACTGTTGGTGATTTAGACATCACACTGACTGTGCTTTTGCTGCGGAACATTACAAAACTGGTAACCGGGTCCAAAGCATGGGACAACCCCTCCGACAGCGATAAATCAACAGAAGCCGAGATTGGGCGAGTTAAAAGATATCGGAACGTTGATTATGCTCATATAAAAGGGACAGCAATCAGTTTAGATGTTTTTCGAGAAAAATTCTCAGGTCTCAAGTCCAGTCTCCTGGCTCTCTCTACTGTACCTCCCAAATACACTGCTGACGATTATGACAAAATTCTGTTTAACCGCCTTGACACTATTGGTCCTGATATACGGAAGGAGTATCAGGACGCTATGGAAAGATTGTACAATTATGACAAAGACTTGAAAGCCTTAACAGACACAGTGAACAAAAACCACGAAGAAGTTATGAATCAGTTAAAAACAAATGAGGAGAATGAAAAAGGTATCCAAGTTTTGTTCATTTAGACATTGATACACAATTTTGGCTAACATGACGTTCTCAGGAGCAACGGTACTGCCAACATATCCTTGGCCGTATATGACTTTGAACATAATGAATGAAAACAATGAAAATAAATATTTTAAACCGCACAATGTTCCAGATGAAAATCAATCTTCATTCTTAAAGCCCTCTTTTGAATTTATATACCCATGAGCGCATGTGTTTTTTGTTTACAGGCATTCATGAAACACTTAAGATGATTTGTGACAGGTTGCCAGATACACAAGAACAACGAAAAATTCCAGGTAAATATGCAGTAATAAACTCCAGGCATAATACACCTGATACATTAATGTACGGAGGTGTTTCTAATCCACTGCTAATTGACATTATGTTTTTTTTTTTTTTTTTTTTTTTTATATTTCAATCGCAAGTGGCTTAATAAAAAACTTTGTTACACTCAATATAAAGTTATTTGAGGTGCTTTCATATATAGTGTGATACAACTGAGGATTCAGTTCTTTTATAAGTTCTGCTTCTATGTTAAAGGATATCAATACGTGTCCAAGGTCCAAATTGGTCAAAACAGCTTTCCTCCGTTTTAAATGTAGAATACTTATCTAGATATTAGTGCAATCAAATAAAACAGTTCCAGGGCAAAACGTCCCTTTTGTGGTTTTCTTCACCAACCCACGAACTTCTTCTTTCAAGCTCTGTCCTCATTTGTCCTCAGTTTAACTGCTTTGCTTATTGATGCAAGATATTGTGATCGATTTGTGACGTAACTCCGTAAGGAAGTGATATAGATTATATGGGTGACGACAATGTTATGAAATACAATACGTCACCAGCGTCTATTATTAGTTCATTTTTTAAGAGATATGAGCCTCTAATTACTGTTTCAACTGACGAAGACTTCATCTCTCGTATTTACTGATAAAATCAGGTATGGACCTTTCAAGAAGATCAATTGGCACCAGAATGCACTGCTTACTGTTGAGATTTAAAATGGTGTTGATAACTGTTCAAGAAAATCGAAAATAGTTTTCAACACAAACCCCAGGTTTATTTTTGATGTAAGAACAGTATTATTTCATAACATGACTATGTTTGTTACTGCATTGCCTTAATGGATAAGGACATAGACCCTGACGTATCAGTGAAACATAACAGCATCCACTTAATGCATTCACCAGTCAAACTGGAAGAAATGATGCACTTACATTAATTTCTACTATAACACACTTCAATAGACATATGAGAAGACGAAAACATTATGCAACCCAAAAATTTCTAGTAGCTTTGTCGTCGCCTCTTGTGCAATGGTGATAAAAAGTAAAAGGTATTAGGCATGATTTAAGTTTCACCCCTATTCAAAGGGAGTTGGTCATATGATTGGAGCGTTCTTTTTTTTTCAGAAATGATGTTTATTAATTTTACTTTGTAATTAACAGTTTATTTTGACGTATAAAAAGTCTACGTATGTTCAAATATTATTATTCAGCATTTTATTTATTTGGTAGTAAAGGGTGGGGGAAGTACAGTGGTAGTTGCAAAATACAGACTTGACATTTAATATGGAATATTTCAGTTTCCAAGGTATGTCTAGGTAAAAATGCGTTCTTTTTTCAAAAAACTCCGATCTCATATAAGATTTGTGAATGGAGAAGTGTGTAGTCAGGTGTGTCGCTACCAATTAACTGACTTTCATGTCTGTTGCGCTGCTATATTATGTAATATGTAGTGATTTAGTTGGGTAGTGTTCCTTTAGGCTGGTCAAAGCTTGGCTTAGGCAAAGCTTGGTTCTGTCAAAAAAGTACCCATATGTCGGCAACCACTGCATAGAAGAATTTGAAATTTTGCATGCAAGCGGTCAGTTTTGCAGTGCGTAAGATGAGTCAAGTAGTGCATTACAAATTTGTTAATCTATGGCAGAATGGCGCGAAAAAGACAGACATTACCAGACAGATCATAGCGCCAAACGGAACGGTCCCCACAGTTTTA